CTGCCGGAACAGCCAGCTTTTAACGGCTTTACAGAAAGCCTGAAGGGAGGTGGGGGTCCGGATCTCCGCGGGGAGTTCGTTCCAAAGCTTTCATGCTTGCTCGGTTTTTCTTTTCGGTAAGAGGTTTATCTCATCCACATTTCTGAACTGTTTTGAGCCAAAGAACAGGCCGGGCGTGGCACCAAGCAATTCGACCTCAGATTTGACAGTCAAACAATAACAAAGTCTGGGCATTTGAACCAGGGGTGGGTTCCTGCCGGCATTACTACCGGTTTGGCACCCAAAAAACTTTGCTCCCCGTGCGTGCGCAGGTGCTCTTAAAACAGCCTGCACATGCGCACAACATTAAAAGAAAAGGGGGGGTTCATTTTTTTTCAATGAAAATTGTTCTGTGGATGTGCAGAACAGAAAATCAAGATGGCGCTGAACCGGTCCGAACCGGGAGGAACCCACCTCTGATATAAACCTCCCAGAATATGGTGAGGGAGATGGAGGTTTCTACACATGGATGGATGGGTGGTAGAGAGATGCTTCACATAGATCCGTACACGATGGAAGATATAGAATATAGATAGGATATAAATGATATTCTTTTATTGATCTCAAAATGGCCACCTCACTATTGTTAAATGATGCACCGGTTCCCTCTGGGCAGATCCTGCTTGAAGAACCTGCCTTCCCTTCATCCGGTACCTGTTGAGCCACGGAGCCAGAGGAAAAATTGCAGCTCACAACAGATCTACAGTGAAATGCCCTGCACTTAAAGGAAGCTAACCGGCTCCTTCTGAAATAAGGAGACAGAACAGTAGAGGCAGCTTCACACAGGAACTCTAGAGAGGACCACTCTGCTTTTCCTTTTTTATAATTGTTGTTTCATTATAAAATAAAAATGCAGACTTTTCCAACTTTTTTTAGTGCAGTAAAATACAAAAAAAAGTCAGCTTAACCTTCTGTTTTCCACTTCACAACATTTCAAGCCATTTCTCTAACTCCAAAATCATTCTAGTCCTCACAACCTAAAATCCAATCATTTTTTTTAAATATTTCGAGCAAAAAGTCCAGAAGTGGTTTCCAAGGAGAAACAAAACGAGACAAATTCTTCTCTTTCATTAAAACTCTCTCTGCTGGCGCCATCACTTTTGCAACCCACTCTTCCATTGTGTGAAGGAGTGTGTCTTTCTATTTCTGTGCGTATAAGACCTGCATGAGTGATACACCCTCTGCTCTTCCCAGAGATCCCCTCACCAAAATCCCCTCGGCTGCTGAACCCCTGGCAGGTCCCTCATTCTGGCCTCCGACAATCCTGCCATGTGACGTGTGTGTGGCCCATCCCACACCTGTCCTGCTAGTTGAGAGCAGAGCTCCATCAAGGAGCCGCCCTTGAGAGCCAGCCCTGACTCACCCACTGGGAAGCTCTCTTTGGCAACGCCAAGCCCGGTTCCCCAGAGCAAATGCCTGGCTGGGGAATTCTGGGACTTGAAATCTGCCTCTGCTAAAGTTGCCAAGTTTGAGAATCACTGATATAAGCAGACAAATGGGCACCAAAGGCTTTTCAACCTCAGGATAGCCGGCTGCGTGAAAGCAGCAATTAACTCAGGGGTGTCCAATCTTGGGAACTTGAATACCTGTGGACTTCAAGTCCCAGAATTCCCCAGCTAAAAAGAAACTTAATTCTAGTTGTTTTCCTTCCTCCTTTCCACTCCGCATGAAATGAAAGCTGAGAGTTGATTGACAGCTGGCCGGAGAATTCTGGGAGACGAAGTCCACAGGTCTTTTACTGAGTAAAGGTCTCAGGTGGGGATTCCACATTGTCAGGTCGACGAAAAGATTTTAGGATCCGGGAGATCCTGGCCTGGGATGAGACCTGCTGCCAAGGGAGTGAAAGGCGGGGGTGGGAAGGGGAAGGAAGAGGATCCCCACCAACCGGCAGCCACCGGCGAAAGTTCACGGGCTCTGCGGAACTGCCGTGGCGACACCGGGGATTCGGTTCCAAGCTTCTTACGGCCCCGGAACCGGCCAACGAGAACGGAGCCGCCTTCCCAGCCACCCCGGGAGCCCGAGGGGAGAAGGGCCGCTCCGGCGCCGCGCCTGCAGGCGGGAGGAGGGGAGGGGGACGCTTTGCGAGCCCTCACTCACTCTTGAAGAGGTAGTCGTACTCGTCGTCCTTGCCCCGCATGGCGCCCGGACTTCTGCGCTGCCTCCCGACGGAGCGGCTCAGCCACACCTGCGCGTCTCTCCTCGCCCGGAAGAGCTGCCGCTGATCTCACGGCCCGGCGATTTCCTGCGTCTGGCCGGCTTCAGGTAGGCGGTTGTTGGAGGTCAGGCTTTCCGGGCTGGGTTGGTGCCTCTCCGGTGGCGCTGATTGGCTCGGCCTCGCCCCTCCAGCTTTATTGACTGCGGGCAGGTTCTTCGGCTGCTCACCTGGGCAGGTAGGAGGAGGGGAGGTGCGCGCGCTCCCTCCGGCTCTTTAAAGGGGCCGCCTCGCCCCACCCGGAGGGGAGAAAACAAGGGCGGGCCCCAAATGGTGGGTTTCTGCCCGCTGGTAGCCTGTCCGCTTCCGAACTGACCCCACCCCGGTGAGATAAATGGGGGTGTGCAGCTGCTGTTTCCCAGCACCCCCAGATTCTGCAGCCCCCAAAGCCAAATTCTGGGATCAGTTATGCAAATAGAGACCACCTGCCGCTTCTCTGGGGTGCAGGGAGAAACTTCCTCAGAAGTCTGAATCCCCCCNGGGCTAGTTGTGGTGCTCCTTCACTGGAGGCTTTTCAGAATAGACCCTTTTGACTGGGATGACAGAAGACCCCTGCCTGGAGCAGAAGATCTCTCAGGTCCCTTCTAGCCCTAGGACTCTGTGTCCTGAGACTCATGGTGGATGCCTCTTTCCGGCTGCAGAATTCCCAAGTCCCCATTCCATCTTGAGAGGCTGCCATGCAAAAGTGAGGTTCAATCATGGTTCAAAAAGTGTCCAAGGGCTGCTTCCCCCCCCCCCCCTTCTTCTTCTTCTGGTTCTGCTGCAAGATTCTGCTGATACCACTTTTCTACTCAACTCTTTAGAACAGGCGTCTCCAAACCTTGGCAACTTTAATCCCTGTGGACTTCAACTCCCAGAATTCCCCAGCCAGCTGTTCCAATCTGGAATTCTGGGAGTTGAAGTCCACAGGGATTAAAGTCGCCAAGGTTGGATAACTGCGATTTAAGCATGGTGGGAACAATAAAATGCCTTTAATGCCCAGACTCAATTTTCTTTATTTTTGTCAATATGGAAACCAAGTTTATCTAAATTCCCCACCCATCAGCAACTAATGAGACTGAGAAAGCAGGGCCAGGCCGGGGTGGAGGAGGGCAGCTGCTGGGGGTGACTGGGGATATTACTTGACATCATAAGTAAATGCAGGTTTTGGGCAAAACTGTTGTAAAATGTGGTCCTCTGACTGTACTACAAACAGCTGTAAATGCAGCCTGGTTACCACACCAGGTGTGGTCACATGAGGGGGGGGGAATGACCATTGGAACTTTGAACCCCTCAGGTACTCATGTAGTAACTTCAAATGGTCACTAAGCAACCAGTCATAAGTCGAGGACTACCCCAGAGGTGTTTCTTCTGAGGATCCAGGATCAACCTCCTCCTCGTCACTATCTGAACACCAGGACAAGCGTTTGCTTCAAAAGTGAGAGCGGGGAAGCCTGATTCAATTATCACCAGAACATCGTTATTGGACATTTTTATTTAAATACTCAAAATCCCACAGATGACATTAAACACAAATTCCAGACCACCACATGGCACACATTAAAATCCCCGTGTTTTATTATTTACACAACTGGAGCAAAACCACAATAAAACTCGGCTGGGAAGGCTTTGGAGAACATCCAGAAAGACCCTCGGAGGTTCACCCACCCCCACCCCCCACCCCCACTTGTGGATTTTCAAAAGGCAGCCACCGGAATGGGGTCTCCGCTGGACCCTACAGGAATCGGTTTCTCCAGGCACAAACAGTGTAAGAATTCCAGAAAAGTAACACTCCCTTTTCCAGAACTGCCTCAGAAAATATTTGCAAGACACAAAGGTAAGAAAGAGCCAATTCTGGCAGAGGGGAAAAGAGGGGAGGGGGGAGAGAGGTAGATTGTTGGGGGTGTCGGATAGTGAGACTCAAGTCCACGTCAGTGACCGGCAAGGAGGACCTGACCTCCTGGGGGAGTCCTGTGGCCAAGAGGGTCTTCCTCAACCTCAAACAGAGGTCACGCTGGACCAGCAAGTTGCATTTCTGCGACAGGCACACAGAGACAATCACCAAGGAAACCCCACTCCTCACAGACTCAGGGGGGGGTGTCCAGCTGAGGCAGACGTGCAGGCCAGGCTCTACCTTGGTTGCAAGGTTTGGGTGGTGGAGACAGGGACTTTTAAAGTCATCCAAAGAACTTGGGGTCATGTGGGGAGAGTGGCCCGTTTTAAAGATGCATCCCGTCCCCCAAAACAGGCTTGGAAGAAGCCATGAGTGGAGACCTTTTCATCTGCTGGTGGCCACCCAGGAGGGTGGACCCTCAAGGACCAAAATGCCAGTGGCTCTCCCTCAAGTTGTCTCAAGACCAGGCCAGCTGCTGCCTACCAACCAGAAGGGCAAAGAGTTGGCCAACCACAAGAACCTCAAGAGTCTGTTCAGAGGCTCCTCCATGCTTCCCCCCCCCCCCCCACCAAATCTGTCAGAGGCTGAAGAGCAGCCTCCAAGGAGAATCCAGGGCTGGGCCTCAGCTGCAACCAAGGGGTAGCTTCAAGTAGTGTGGAGAAATGGGTTTTGCAGGGCGCAGAGCAAGTAAGGCCTTAGGGGAGCTGGCCCCTCTCCTTCCCCAGGGAAAGACCTGGTGGTTTCCCACCACAGGTTAGATGTTCTGGCAACAAGGGGTCTGCCTCGCTTCCTGCTGAGTGGGCAAGACTTTGATGGGCTCGATGGTGGTCCCGTGGCTGAACTCTGTCTCAGGCTGTCCTCCTGCAAGTTGTCGCTGGGATACAATCCGGTAGATTTCTGGAGGAGGAGAAGAAAACAGAGAGGAGGCCAAATGGGAGTTGGAGGTCCATCTCGGGGGTTGAGCAGAAGCAGCCATGGGAGGAGAAGACAATCCAAGCTAAAGAATAACTTGGGTCCACAGATCGACTTGCCCACCACTGCTCTCCCTTCTAAAGTATACCAAGTGCTGCACTGTTATCATCAGCTTCTCCAAAGGCACAACGTCCTGCTCTCAAGGCAAACAGAGTCCTTAAACACGGGTGTCCCGCCAAAGTGGTTCCTTCTCATTTCAGTGTTTCTCAACCTTGGCAACTTGAAGATGTCCGGACTTCAACTCCCAGAATTCCCCAGCCAGCATTCGCTAGTGTCCTAGACACTGAATTGTTTATACGCGAATGCTGGCTGGGGAATTCTGGGAGTTGAAGTCCAGACATCTTCAAGTTGCCAAGGTTGAGAAACACTGGTTTACAGACTGAGCAGACGGGAATTCCCAAAGGCCTCTCTCAAAGGGTGGGGTTCAGGTGACTTCCTCATCTGCTGGGCTGTAAAACTTCCCAGGTATTGCCACGGCCTTCCTGAAGGGGAAGTCCGAGTGCTGCAGAATTAGGGAAGAGGCCACCTCTCCTGACGCCTGCAGAGGAGGAAGAGGAGGAGGAGAGGCTGTGGACCCAGAGACACCTTCCGGCCTTGCATGGCATTTTGAAGCATAAAATGGCCTAATGAAAGGCAGTCATGGAAGAAGACACAAAGGCCAACAATACGAACCAACCCGTACAACCTGATAGAATAAGCCCAGCGTCACATGACCTCCTGGGTCAAAGACCGACCAAGCACTCCCAAACTCCCATTCTTGCCCACAATGTTTCTCGACCTCAGGAGCTTTAGGGTGGGTGGACTTCAACTCCCAGAATTCCTCCCAACCAGCCTGCTGACTAGGGGAATCCGGAGAATTAACATCCATCCACCTTAAAAGCTCCCGAGGAGATCAAGAAAGACTTTCCGAGCGAAGCCTTTGGGTCTGGTGGTTCTGAGGTTGGTTTTCTTTGGAGTCCCCAATTGGCCTTGAGCTTAGTGTCCCCCCTGCAGGGAACCCCCAAGTAACGTTTCCTGATGACATCTGATGGGGCAGGGGGTTGGTGCCCCACTCACCAAGGGATGCGTCCGCCTGCCTTTGCCGCTCCCAGATCCGAGCGAATCTGAGCCTGTGTCCACCCAGGTAGGTGCGAAGGGAAATCAGACATACCTGCCAGGCTGTTGTGAAAGGCCGTCTCCACGTTGGTGGAATCCAGAGCGGACGTCTCAATGAAAGACAAGCCATTCTTCTCTAGGTGGACACATAGAAAAGGACAGCACCAGTCACACATGGCCCACAGGTAGCCTCTGTGAGAAGCCCCACCCAACCCCCCATGTGCTCCTCAGAGCTCAGCACCAGAAGTGCCCGGAGCCAAACCGTTCGCATTGGAGCTCATCTCCCACCTGTCTAGAGAGGTTTCCCTCCCTGAGCGGCACCAGGTTTAGGCACCAACCTCAGAGCATTGGCAGGTGGCACCTGAGCCCCCCCCCCATCACATTTTGTCCCTTTTAGTTAAATACTTTTTTAAAAATGCTTTTCAGATCCACGTTATGCTTTAATGTATATCATTCATCGTCTGGTTTTAAAGTGTTAGTAAGTCCCTTTGGGAAAAATCTCTTTTTAGCTGTAGATTACAAATTCATCAATAAATAAAATTAGGCTGAGTGTTCTAAAACAGCCCTTCATTTTTAAAAGACGGGGAGCGTTGTGCGTCCAGAAGACACAGTCCAAGTTCAGAACGGAGATCCGGCGATCTTAGGTGTCTATTTTTAAATTTAAAAATGCACATTTTTAGTCCTCAAAGTTGTAAATCTTGAATCGTGTTGCTGGAAACAAGGGTTTTTAAGTGAATTAATTTTGCTCCCCGCCCTAATTTAAAAATGAATGAAAAAAAAATCACCGATATCTTCACAACCCCTGGGGTTCCCCACGTGCCCCCAATGGCCAATAGAAAAGGCCCTCAAACACAACGCTCCTTCTGTGCAGCGGTAACACGAAAGGCAAGGAAGGAGTTGTGGCCCTCGGCTGAGCCCCCGTCCCTGCACTGACAGCTGCAGGGCGACCCCCTTGCTCCAGGCCTGGCAAAAACCCTTGAAGACCCAGCAGGGAGCCCAACCACCTGGGCCAACGTGACTCAGCCACCCTCCGGGGCTCCCCTCCCTTCCCCACAGGATGCAAGAGNGCACAGAGATGCAGCCAGAGCACAGAGGTCGCCATCCCTGAAGAAAAAGCCAGAGGAGGGGAGCATTGCGTGGTCAACCTTCAGCTAATTGGGCAGGAAGAGGAATTGGCGATCATGGTTGGCAGAGAAACGTACTTTCCGTAAGGGAGAGGATGGGATGAAGAGCCAGGAAACAAACAGTGGACAAAAATGACTACTAGGACATACATCGCACAGCTGGAACTCAAGGCATCTTTCCAACCACCTCAGAAAAAACATCTTCCGAACCTTCAGAGAACAGGAAGAGATGCTATGGAACAGGAAATAGGACGATGGGTGGGGAAGGAGTTGCAGAGTGAGTGATGCTGGCCTCTTCTACCTGTCTTTCTGCACTGAGCAAGATGCCGTCCCCCTTTTAACCTGCCTGGTCCTCAGGGATGGAGGTCATCTGGATCTGGTGGCCTGTCTGGGAAGAGTCCCATTCTTCTCATCTTGTTGAGTGGGATCCAAGATGCCTTACACGCTCCTCCCAGTTCCCTTCCCTTTGCAAATCCCTCTTTTTCCAAAATATACCAAACATACTTTCTCCCAAGGGGACCATCATATTAAGCCACAGGATAAAAAAATATGCACTCCATCATCATCCAGAACAATTTATTTAGAAATATGTTTATATATACATATTTATAAATGTACACACACACACGTTGGAGAGACTCCTATCCCACGGTCAGGTGTCTTGTGGGTGGAAGATTTAGAAAAAGACTCAAGTGATGCGCACAGGCAAAAGGAATCCCTGCAAGTAAGAACCGCTTGCCTGGCGCCACCAAAGGAGAGCATAAGAAGCGCCTAGCAGGCCCAGCCTGGTTCCCAAGTTACCACCTAGGAAATGTCTCCGATGGGAGGGCGACCTGCGACTTTCATTTCTCTGCAAGCAAGGAAGCAATTTAAGCTTCTGAGGAGGCCGATTGGTTTAGCTGCAGCTCCCTAAGCCAGGAAGGAAGGCAAAAGATTCAAGGAAGGTCACCAAAGACCACATTTTGGTCCTCTCGTGGTCCCTCCCCCACGGAGCCCATTATTCCCAAGGAAAGACATCGCTCAACATCAAAAAAAGTGGCATGAGGAACCAGCCTCCTTTGTTCCCCCTCCCCACAATTCAAGGACCACCGATATCCAACTTCTATATACAGGCACGATAAGGCACGATTCTCTCAACCAATTGTTGTGAAAACCAAGCACCAGGATTCGGTGCAGGTGTGCTGTGCAGTAAGCCACGACTCCTGTTTTGTTGACCCAGAAGTTGGGCCCCCACACACACTGCCCTTAGCTAGAACATCAGCCACCTTTGTCGACCTCTTTGTCTCCATTTCCTAGACTGATCTGGCCGCCCACCTGATCTGCATGACTCAAAGGAGCTAACAAAACATTAGCATTTCCTTTGAACTCAGTTACTGTAGCTTGTAACCATGGAGGGTAGCTTGGTGTCAGGTTTGTGTGTGTCTTGGCCAAGTTCTCTTTTGCCAGTTCCTCAGAGGAACCAACCTTCACCCCTTCCGAGGAGTCCAGTTTCACCAATGAACAAAATACTTCTGTCCAGCTCAGTTACAGCTTCTGCTTCCAGGCCAATTAAATCCCTTCACTCCTTCCAGAGCGAATAAAATCTTTGCCTTTCATTGGGATTAGCAGATTCAACACATACTGGGGAATTCCCAGATTTCAACCCTCTCTCTAGGGTGGCCAGAGTGAGGAGGGGTGGAGTTCTGCCTGGACCACCTTCCCAAGATGGAGTCCCGTGTATCTTTACTCCTGGTTCAGGTGGGAAGAGTATTTTTTAATCGTCTTTCCGATTTCATCCAGGGTTGTTTTTTTTTAAACCCTCTTAATTTCCCTCTTTCACTGGTGAAAAGGAAATGGCCGTGGAGAGCTGAGGACCAGAAGAGAAGGATGTTCCTGCTCCAGCACGGAGTAGGCAAGCAGGTGTGTGTGTGTGTGTGTGTGTGTGTGTGTGTGTGTGTGTGTGT